GTAAACGCTGTATTTTTGTACTCTACAGGTATGCATTTTTGTTTTTGGTTATCCATTACATTTTTTTTGTTGTTTCTGTTGCCCCCCCCCCCCACAAACTTTATTCAGCCCATTGGCCGTTTCTGTTATACTACTCTCTTTTAAGGAAACACATGCACTGTGTTTATGTATTTGTTGCATTTAATCCTTAATATTTTCTGGACAGTGTTAATGACTTTCTATGATTAATGTGCACTCTACTATGCAAAATACCTCATGCAATTGTTCAAATGATGTATTTGTAATGTAATTTAATTACAATAAGTGCTCAGTCTCGTTTTGCACTACTGAGGGAAGCAGAGGTGCTGTGAAAGGAAGCCAGAAGGCAATTAATGTGCATTTGTACTCTACAGGAGTCAATAAATTGTGAAAGTCATCACATCCTGAGTTGTCCTTTACATCGCCTGACCAAACCCGTTACACAATATTATGTCTGAGAACCATACTCGGGCCAGGCACAATGGGGCTACCAACAGTAGACTGATCCCGTTGCGACGGACCCTCTCTAGAACTCCCGGGAGCAGAGCGATCGGAGCCAAATGCATACAGACGCAGCCTCGGCCACGTCTGTACCATAGCATCCAGCCCCAGCGGGGCTGGAGGGGTGAGGGAAAATCACAGCGGACAGTGGGTCGTCTCTCGAGACGCAAACAGGTCCACTTCCACTGGGCCGAACCTCTGACATATCGACTCCACCACCTCCGGGTGAAGTCTCCATTCCCCGGGCCTCAGCCCCTGTCTCGACAGGACGTCTGCTCCCTGATTTAGACTCCCCGGGATGTATGTTTCTCTTAGAGACAACAATTTCTCCTGGGACCACAGGAGGATCTGATGCGCCAGTCTGCATAGAGGGCGAGACCTCAGGCCCCCATGATGGTTTATAGAGGCCACCACTGACATGCTGTCTGACCTCACGAGGACATGGTGACCTCTGAGGTCCGGCAGTAAGCTCCTCAGAGCCCGGGAGACCGCCAACATTTCCAGGCAGTTTATGTGCCAGGAGGAATGATGGTCCTGCCATAAGCGGCCGTCCATAACCGTGCCCCAGCCCATGAGGGAAGCGTCTGTCGAAATGGTTCTCCGGGGACCTTGGGACAGGAACCAAGCTTTTTTCCCCATAACCAGAGAACGAAGGCATCTGCACGTAACTCTGATTGTACGGAACGGGTTTCCCCTCGTGGAGAACCCCTTGGTTATTCAACCACCACTGGAGGGCCCTCATGTGCAGCAGGGAAAATGGAATGATATTGGATGCTGCTGCCATGAGTCTCAACACTCTCTGAAAATGTTTGACAGTGATGGCTTGGCCTAGCTTTATCCCAGCCACTGTGGCCAGAATGGACTCGACTCGTGCGGGAGACAATCGTGCCCACATCGTGCCCGCATCGTGACCGAATCCCATACCACTCCCAGGAACGTAGTCCTTTGGGCTGGTATTAACATGCTTTTCTTTGTGTTTAGTCTCAACCCCAGCTTCTGGATGTGGGCAAGAACAACATCTCGATGCTGAACCACCTGCTCTTGAGACTGGGTCAGAATCAGCCAGTCGTCTATATAGTTGAGCACCCTGATGCCCTGGAGCCTCAGAGGTGCTAGAGCTACATCCATACATTTGGTGAATGTGCGGGGGGAGAGAGCTAGGCCGAACGGAAGAACCTGATATTGGTACGCTTCGCCCCTGAAAGTGAACCTCAGGAACTTCCTGAGAGATGGAAGGATGGATATATGAAAGTATGCATCCTTTAGATCTATCGTGACGAATCAATCCTCGGATTGAATCTGACTCACAATCATGGGAATAGTGAGCATCTTGAACCTGAATCTCCTCAGAGAGTGGTTCAGATATCTCAGATCTATGATCGGATGCAACCCCCACCCCCCATCTTTTTTAGGAACTATAAAGTAGCGGCTGTAAAACCCGGACTCCCTGTCTAGTGGAGGAATACGTTCTATAGCCCCCTTTGCCAGCAGGGAGTTTACTTCCTGTTCTAATACCCGACCCTGCGCCGGGTCGACCACATTCCAGACCACCCCGTTGAATCTGGGTGGGTGGAACCCGAACTGCAGCCTGTACCCGTATTGTATCGTGCGCAGCACCCACGGGGGAAATATTCATTAGATTTTTCCATGCATCGACATATTTTACCAAGGGAACCAGGCTCTCGAGCCTGGTTTCGGGTATTAATCGGGATTCGTTCTCGACTGCCTGAAACGAATCTTCGGCAGGACTGGGCCGAAAACGATTCTCGATGGGCGAACACAATCGCTGCCCGTCCGCAGGCTCGCAGGGCGGACAAAGCAGCTCGCAATCGCTGGAAACCGATGTGTCCCGAAACGTACTCGACGGCGGGAGAACAACATCTATTTCCTGCGGGCTCTGTGAGGGAGACGACCTCGGTCGCTCCATCATGGGTGGGGCTGCCCGCAGAGATCCTAGCACAGCTAGGACCTCTTAGAGGTTTAGAGGTTTTCTTAGCCTGCAGGACGGCCCTCAGGTCGCCCTGCTTGGCTTATGGTTTAGATTGAGAGTGCCGTCTATGCCCCCAAGCTACTTGAGTGGGGGCTCTAGACGTGACGCTCTCTCTCTGAACCTGCTTGTAGGTGGAGGAGCTTGTACCTGGCTGAGGCTGCGGCTGCCCACTGGGGGCAAACTTCTTAGATACTGAGCGATGACGGAGAAATTGTTTGAAGGCCGCTGATTGTTTTTTCGTCTCCTGAAACCTGTCGACAACGGTATTAACGGCGTCGCCGAACAGGCCAGAAGGCGAAATCGGGGCATCAAGGAGGAAAGCCCTGTCTTTCTCCCTGATGCCCATCAGATTTAACCATAAATGTCTCTCCGAGGCCACCATTGCTGCCAAGGAGCGACCGACAGCGCGGGCCGTCTCTTTGGTGATTCGGAGAGACAAATCAGCGACCTTTCTCAACTCCACCACATCCTCCGGAGTTGGTCCCTCGGCCTCATCAATATCTCTAAGAAGGTCGGCCTGGTACGCTTGGAGAAGCGCCATGGTTTGAAGACTCACACCAGCCCGACCTGCAGCCATATATGCCCTGCCCACCAGCGAAGATGTTTCTCTGCACGGCTTGGTCGGCAGCACCGGAGCTTTAAAGGATGATGCCGACTCAGGTGATAAATAATTAGCTAAGGGCTGTTCAACCCGCGGCATCATCCCATAACCATTCTCTCGTGCCCCCATGATGTTACTATATCTCAACACCGTGGGATTGGAGACACGAGAAGAATGGGGTTTCTTCCACGATTTACACACCTCAGTATGCAAATCGGGAAAAAACGGTAAGCCCCGATGATGAGGTTGTTCCCTGTGCTGCAGGAAGCGCTCATCTAGTTTGCTTTTAACTTGCACTTCCTGCTTTTCTTGTGGCCAATCGATCTTTAAATGAGCCACTGCACGGGAAACAATCTCAACCAGCTCATATGCGGGGACACGGGGTGGGAGTCATCCCCGAAATCCCCGCCCCCCTCGATGCTAAGCATGTCCACCTCCTCGGAGGCAGACAGCTCAAGCATCGGATCCTCGGCTCAAGGATATCGGAACTGCCCGATGAATCCCGAGAAGGTACCTCAGCAGCCTCGGGATCCCCGGACAGATCCATTTGCGAGCCCCATGAAGAGCGTCGCCGCACTGCCTCAGCGGACACGGGTCCCGCACCATGGGGCTCACGAGGCTGACCCACTTCATTGAAAAGGGCCAGCCGGGAATGCAGCACGCGGAGCGGTAAAGCCTCACAATGCTCGCAAGCAGCTCCCTCAAGAGCTGCCTGCGCGTGATTCATTCCCAGACAATGTGTACACAGTTGGTGTGTGTCCCCGCCCATGATGTAGCGAGGGCAAGGATGCACACACCACCTGAAATTCACACTCGCCATTTATACAGTTTTTAGAGGGAGATTCACTTTGCTTAGACAGACAAACAATAAATAAGACTGACAGTCACAGAGAGCGCTTAGCTAAAGAACAGAAAGCTGACATGTTGTGTGTGCCGGTTCCTTATATATGCTTCCGCCTATGTGTCGTCACACATCACGTCATCACGTTGATCCAATCGGAGATTGGCTTAGTTTCATTCATGCTTCTGAGATGCTACGCTGAGGGGCGTTCCCCCAAAGTGTCACTTTGACGCATTTTGAGTTCCCTCGATAGGGAACTGCTTTATTAGCCCTGTTGGATTTTCTGATCACTCACTCGTTGTGGTTTGTCTTTTTCTGAAGCGTGTAAAGCCCATTAGTGCCTATTGGCATTTTAATACAGCTTTACTAGAAGATAATAATTTTAAAGAAGTTTTTGTATCTTTTTGGAAAAAAACATCAAAATACAAAAAAATGTGTTTATCTCTTTGCAACAATGGTAAGACTTTGGAAAAGTTCAAACTAAACAGCTGTGTCAGCAATAAAATCATAATGTTACCAAAGTCCTATTGAAATCAGTGAAAGCTCTGGTGTCAGAAATAGAAGAGCTCCAGCTTTTAGCTGAAGCCACTAAATATCCATGTTATCTTGATGCTCTTGAGGTTAAGAGGTCTGTGTTGGCGAACATGCTTGGGGTGTCAGCACAAGGGGCTCTTATTAGGTCCCGGTTTAAAAATGTGGCAGAAATGGGATTTTTTTGGCCTTGAGCGGAGATTTATACATGGTTTAAGGTCTGACTCTGGACATGTGTTGTTTGATCATGCCACTATTCATAAGCATGCTGTAATTTATTACTCTGATTTGTATAAATGTGAACACCAAGAGGAGCAAATGTTAGCTCAGAATTTTTATTCTAGTCTTCCCCATGTTAAACAAAATAATAATGTGGTGCTGGAAGCGGATATTTCCCTGGATGAACTGCATGTAGCTTTGCAGAGTATGCAGAGCAGGAAAACTCCTGGAATAGATGGTCGTCCTGTTGATTTTTATAAGTTTTTTTTTTGTTGTTGTTTGTTTTTTAATTGGAGAAGATCTTCTGGCAGTGCTGAAGGATAGCCAAGCCACTGGACGTCTACCTTTGAGATGCAGAAGGGCAGTTCTTACCCTGCTGCCAAAAAAAGGTGACCTACAGCTCATAAAAAACTGGAGACCGGTGTTCCTTCTGTAATGGTCACTGTATAGATCTGCACTGCATTTCCCAGAAACCTCTTCACCACACACCTGCAGTCACTCTCATGACTCCAAATCACCTGCACCTGTTCCAAATCAACAGCCAGCTCCATATAAACTCCCAGTTTTCACTCAGTCATGGTCAAGCCTCCAACAGGAACAGACCCTAACCAGTCTCCATGGAACACGCTGATTCATCCAGCTCCAGTAATGTAACATATACTCACCTGAAGATACTAACCTTTCTGTCCATGTTCTGATGTTCCCAGAATCTGCTCCTTGATCCTTGTTTCCTGAGTCCTTGTAATCTTCCTGAGTCTCGTTTGCTGACAGATGGTCTGAAAGAGAAAAACAAGTATCACTGGACTGTGTTAGTTTGTTTATTGCTCTGAAGAGGATCTGCTCACCTGGAATCCTTCCTGCAACGTATCCTCCTCGAATTCACCTCTGAAACACTGAAAATTTGAACACTCACCTTTGAACTTGAAATAAAGATTTGTGTGTATTCACTTACCTCTGTCTCTGGGCCTGTATCCTGACACCTTCTTTGTACTGATTATAAGCTACTCTCCAAAGTCTTGGCAAGTAGACTTAAGGTAAGGTGATGGCACAAGTTGTTTTGCCTGATCAGACTTACTGCATCTCGGGTAGGCTGATTTATGATAACATCATTCTCATTCGAGACTTATTAGAAATTTCCAAGCTTTTTGATTTCAAAATGGGGATTGTTTCTATTGATCAGGAGAAAGCCTTTGACCGTGTTGAAAACACATATTTGCTGCCAAAGATTGTCTGCATTGGACGCCTCAAAGTGTGTTATTTTTGCCGAAAGATGGAAGACAAGGATTAATTCATCAGAACAGTAGAGGGGCAACTTTCCGCTTTCAGGCCATCCTTTAAAAAAATGGTCGGTAGGTAGGTCTATATTTTTTTTTCTCCAGGATTCAGTGTAAAAAAAAAAGTAAAATTTTGGTCATGGTGATCATGAATTTTTTTTTTTTTTTTTTTTTTTTAATTGCATACTGTGACGTCACTGACTGGGTCTTCAAACTGTGCATCCACCACTAGGTGTTATTGCAACCTACAACCGGTTACGTTTTTAGGCCAGTCACAAAATGAATAAATATCTACTGTATTTGTTATGCAGCAGTGTGCAGGCTTTTTTTTCCCCAAATAGATGAGATATAAGCAAAAACAAGTACAAACACATGGTGAAACAAAGAATACAATTAAACAAAGATACAAATGAGCCTATATACACAGTGCTTTAATTTCAGAAAGGTCTAAAATTAGCTACTTTTCAGTTAAGTGTGTTGCGCTGTCTGAAAAGAAATTTAATTTAGTAAATCAAATGTAAAATGACACTGCATGGTTTATCATAGTTAGATTAATGCTTATTAAAGTTTAAGTTAATAATTCAAGAGCTGCGAGTGATTTTTCTCTGCCTTTTGTTGTGTTTGATTCCCATTACTGGCTCAATCGTCACATGTTTATTAGACTACTGCCCCTTTAAGACCGAGTGCGGATCTAGATGACTGATGCACCACCATATCCTCCCAACTATTCACATCCATTTAAGACATAAACTGTGTTTAAATGAATCTCAGAGCAGGTCATTTTAGATTTTATGTATATTTGATAGTTTAGCTGCGCACATGAAGCCCAAAATGAGGCTATAGCCTACTTTTCTTGTCCCGTTGCAGTGCATTTCGGAGCACGCATCACCTTGTGAACAGCGTCTCTTGCGCAGACTTTTGTGCTTTTAATAGCTCTTTTAATGATTGAACCCGTACGCAGTTTAGCAACAGTACAGACTGCAGTTTAGCAACAGTACAGACTGCATTTTACAACAATTACCGATCGTGCTGATTCTGACGGTACGTTTGGGTTTTAGGAAGAAATGACAGCGCAACGCTGTGAAGGGAAGGAAGTTGCGCTATAGACAGAATGCGTCTGTAATGGTTTCATCTCAAATATCTTTTTATAATCTTTGAAAGCGGAAATCTAAAATACAATTAGAATAATATCCCAGATCTAAAGTGTAGGTAACCACGTTCTGTCCTCATTGTCACTCATTAAGCAGGGCTGTCATGTTGTTCGCGCTGTGGCTCCGGGTGAGAGATCGCTCTCTCTCTTCTGGACTGGGAATAGCAAAATTGCATCAGACAAATTGTTTAATATTGTTATTATATATAGAAATGGATGATATTTAGCCCATTTAATACCGGGTTTACCAAGCGGGAACACTGAATGAAACGAAGCGAACGTATAAGCCTTATAGACAGTGTGACACGGGTAGGCTAAACCAAAACCCTGTAAACATAATCAGATGACTATGACGCCACGGGTTTTTATTTAAAAGAAAGAACGTAGCCTACGTTTGTAGACATAAGCAACTTTCACAATACTAACTAAAATATCATTTTATGGAATTTGAATTAGTCGTTTGAAGAGTAAAAAAAAAAAAAAAATCGGTCGGTCTGAACGCAAGTTACAACCGGCAAGTCGGTCGGACTAAAAGGGAAAAAAAAATAAAAAATTAGGTCGGCCCTAAATTGACAGGGTCGGTCGGGTTACGGCAAACAAGAATATTTTTAAGGGTGGCCTCAGTTTGTGCAGAGGTTTCTCTGTGGTACCGCCGACCTGGTGTGGAGACCATTGGCATGCACTATTCTGAACCAGCTAGGTGGACTTGGCCTAAACAGAAAATTGTTTCTGATGGATTTAAAGCAGCTCAACACCAGTGGATTGCTAAATTTCTATAGTGGACTGTTGAAAGTCTGGAATCTGTTTAAAACTGAGAGGACAGAACATCACAGTGCACTGTATTGGCTTCTCCAAGAGCCAGTTATGTATGGGACCCGTTTGAGTGCAACCTGCCGCATACTGTAGGTCCCAGTTTACTCAAACAGTTCTGTTCGTCTAATGTTGTGACTTTGGGACACGTAATTCACTTTACAGGTGCAAACATGGACAATGCTAATCCCCTTTCTTCTTATTAAAAAATGGGAATTCTGTTCACATAATTGAGTTGTTGCTCAAAAAGTGGAAAGAGGAATTAACAGATGCCGAACGCACATTGTCGCATTTGTATTGTGATGGTTCTGTTCAAAATAGTGTTGATGATACTTTTCCTATGGTGAAGCTTCTCCTAGACTTTAAGGACTGTACAGGTTTTTTTTTTTTTTTTTTTTTTAAAACCAATAACCCCTTTGTTTCTATTCATAACGCTGATAAGAAATTGTTATACAGATTGATTGTAAAAATTTTGAACAAAGATAAATTAAACTGTAGAGTTGACACTCCATGGAGGGCTCGCTTGGGTCTGATAGATGGTGTTGGACCTGAATGGAGATCGCTGTACAAACCACCATTGTTGAAGAAGGTTGCTGACTTGAAATGGAGAGTTTTACATACAGCTATGGCTGTTAATTATTTTATCTCTGTGTTGAACCCTGATGCAGTGGTGGTAAGTAACAAAGTAAAAATACTTCATTACTCTACTTAAGTATTTTTTTGGGGGATCTGTACTTTACTTGAGTATGTTTTGTTTGCATCTACTTTCACTCTTACTCCACTACAATATTACAGGCAAAATTTACTTTTTACTCCGATACATATCCCCGTGCCCGCTCCAAGTATTTATTACACTTGGCTTTCCAAACCAATGAAAAACATGGTTTTCTTTTGGAAAAAAAAAGAACGTACGCACTCACGCTCTTTGCCAGCACGCTCGCTCACATAGCAGTTCAGTTCGTCAGTTCAGTGGAAGATGATGACTGCAGAAACAGTAGCAGCTCTCACTGTCAGCAGAAATGATCCCGAGATTCCAGACAGAGATCACCCATGGCCATATCTCAAGGATATGTTTGAATTCACTGAAGTTAAGGGAGATTCGTATCGGCTGAAATGTCTTCTTTGCCTGCCACGCCGTGTTACAGTGCACTCTATCTGTACAACACGACGTAGCCTACACATCACACGTTAATGAATAGGTACGGGACACTGCAATTCACCAAAGTTCATTATTTGCATAAGCCTTGCTGGTTAAACATTTAATTCACGTGATGATGCGTTGTTCTAACGTGCGCTTTCCTGAGCGCATACCCCCGCCTGTCAAACAGCGCTTGAGTACTGGACTAAGTTATCTTCCGAGTCTTGTTATGCTAATATTGTTAAATACGCACAATGTTTACATAAACAGAATTGGCTATGTCTAAAGTGAAAGCAAACATTTGAGAGAAAATCTGGTGTAATATGCATCTACATTAAACGCGTCGCGTGCTGGTCTAAAAGCGACAGTGGTAAATAGTAGCCTACTGCCGCTTGTACTTAAAGGTATAGTTCACAAAAAAAAACATAAATTTGTCATTATTTACTCACTCAAATGTTGTTCCAAACCTGTATTAATTTCTTTCTTGTGCTGAACACAAAAGAAGATTTTTTTTTGAATGTGGGTAACCAAACAGTTGCTGGTCCCCATTAACGTCCAGGAGAGAGAAAAAAACTAAACATTGGGGACCAGCAACTGTTCGGTTACCCACATTATTCAAAATAACTTTTATTTTCAACAGAAGAAAGAAACTTATTTGGGTTTAAAACGTCTCTGGTTACTTGCGTAACCTATGTTCTCTGAATAGGGAACGAGACGCTGCGGATAGCACAGTGGGATATTCTCTGAATGTGCTGATTGTCTGAAGCCCAATAGAATCACGCCAATTCATTGGCTGATGGCGCTCGCGTAGTCTGTGAGGAGAGGACCAGTCGGCTGCAACACAAATGTCCTCTAAGAGAGCTCCTCTAAAAAGAGCTTGAGAGCATGCCACACTCCTGGTGGAATGTGCTCTAATTCCAAGAGGCGAAGGCAAACCACGCACCTCATAAGCCATAGATATCGCTTCTGTGACCCAATGAGAAATCCTTGTTTTGACGCAGCAAGCCCACGGCAGCCAGCACCAAAACAAACCAGAAGCTGGTTAGATTTCCTCCAACTGCTGGAGCGGTCTACATAAAACTTCAAAGACCGAACTGGGCAGAGCAGATTAAGCTTCCTATCCTCCTCAGAAGAAAAAGGAGGAGGATGGAAAGCGTTAAGGCTAACAACCTGAGAGCGGAACGCTGTGGAGAGAACCTTAGGAACATAGCCTGGCCTAGGTCTGAAGGAAACTGACTAAACCGGGAGCGAAGTCCAATCATTACTCGCTAACAGAAAGAGCTTGTAAGTCCCCTACCCGCTTCAAAGAAGATAAAGCCAACAAAAGTGAAACCTGAATCAGAATCCGATCCGGAGCCTCCTTTAAACCCTCCAAGACGACAGAAAGGTCCCATGAGGGAACTTTAGGGGAGCGAACTGGTTTCAGGCGCCTAACCCCACGCATGAAGGCCGAAACTAACCTCAGTTTACCCAAGGGAATCTCGTCTGATTCTCTATGTGCTGCAATGGCTGCAACGTAGACTCTGAGGGTGGTAGCAGCCGCCCCAGAGGTAAACCTCTCCTGCAGGAACTCCAATACTGAAGTGACAGGGCAGTTAACTGGGCTCCTATCATGTGCCAAGCACCATGACACAATAACCTTCCATTTGGAAGAATACAGTCTCCTTGTAGAAAGGGCTCTAGCACTAGCGATGGTCTCCTGAACGTCAGTTGGGAGATCCAAGCCAAATGCCGACGGCCTCTGATCGGCCAAACGTACAGCTTCCACATGTCTGGGTGAGGATGCCAAATCCTAGCCTGAAATTGGGAAAGCAGATCCTCTCTGACTGGAATCTTCCAGGGGGACGATTCCAGCAGAGGAATCAACTCCGAAAACCATGGCAGAGACGGCCAGAACGGGGCTACTAGAAGGAGGCGGACTCCGCTCTCCCTCACTCTGGCCAGGACC